TAATCGTTGATAGCAAAAGCTACACACAAAGCGCGGTTCAGAGACTCTCATTATGGGTGTCTCGGCTCCAGTCCTTGTTTGAAGATCAGCATGACCGGTTGAAAGATCAACAGGTTAACAATGATTATTGTCAATTGACACGGAGATCCAGCCGCAGCATACTCATGACTAACGCAATATCAGCTAGCTTTCACCTAGAAGAAATGGCTGTTTCACATGTATTAGACGCAAGAGATTTCTTTCGAAACTTCAACGGTCTCGTTGAGCTCAGCGACAGTGCCGCTAGAGAGTCTTGCTTCTACCTGCCAGTTCAGAAAGCTATCCGCCGAACCAGCCGAAGTTGACCAGCTACTTATATCCGCGAGCGAAGCGGCCACGTACATGCAACGTCTGAGAATCATGGAAGTATGGAGCTCTGGTCTAAGCAAAGGTTTCTTTTTTCGCTTCGAGGTTGAGAAGAGCCAAGCCAAACTCACAGTGGCTGCTACTTGGCCACTTGAGACCCTGTCAGCGCCAGTTATTGAGGCATGGCAGAAGATTGCAAGCCGACAAAGGTTCTTATGGTCAACTGAGATCATCAACTCTGGAACCTTGACGCGGGAAGAGAGCATTTGTAAACATCTGAGGTTGTTCCCGCTCCTGCAAAATTGGGATGACAACTAAGCGTTCAACCATGTAAGACATTTTTTCCCGGTTAGTGGAGTTTCTAGGCGCGCAATATCATTACTTTTGTATCCACGGATATGAGCGGCAGTCGACAGGGTTCCAAACTGTGAATAGACGACCTGGTAATGCGGTCCGCCACGTTAGTCTTGGGTATGACAGGACTCGAAAAGACCTACTTCAACCGCTTCGCTGTTCACGGGTATGAGTCTGGGGTCTGCCGATGCTTTGCGGCTGAACGTAACAATCCACTTTCAAAGTGCTGTTTCCATAAGCTAGTTTCCGTTGCCTCCGAAACCAAGCTGCTGGCTGGATACTCGCGACCCGAATGTTGCAACGTCTTGGAAAAGATATCTTCCAAGTTGCTGGTAACGCATGCTCGGAGAAAGAGGAATATGCTTTCGATATCCCGACATTTGATTGATAGTCCTTGAAGATGCCGTCGGATGCATTATGCAGCTAGCAACTTCACAAACATTCGACGACGTGATTCCTAGTGTCAAATCCGATCTGGGAGACTAGACCGGCTAGGTCTGGGGGGATCGGATCTGCCTCCGGAGAGTGGGTCGCGCCGAGTGCTGAACTTGAGCAACCCGTCGCTAACGGATACGTTGCCCTGTAGGACGTTGGTATCGGGTACTCCTCATGCGCCACACTATCCCAGACCTTGACAGGATGCCGACGCCTTTAGTCCGGCTGCGTCGAGGAAGCCATGCGTCAGTGATGGAGAAGGAATGATCTCAATTCCCATGTATGATCGGGCCGCACTCGTTATATTGCTCTACAGGCATAACGTGAACCTACTGACACTTGTCTGATTCGTAGCTGCTCTTGCATATCAAGAGTGGTTTTGCAATCAAAAAGTTGACCACTTCAACTGCGGACGCACCACTTGGTGCTGTTTTCTCATAGCGGCGGCCAGCAGAGGCGAATCATCCCCCATCGCAATTGCATGGATTGAAACATTTCTCGAATTGACAGTTCCGACGATCATATTTCGCGGCAAATTGCAGGGGAGCGAATCCATACGTGCCCACAATCAACCGCAATCCCCCAACATTGAGCCGGGACGTGAAGAAACGGAAAGTGGGAACACGGACAAATCGCAAATTTGTCCGCCCGAACTGATCGGAAATCTTTTCGGCGAGGGATGTAAGTACACAAAACCGTTTTTTTCGGGATGACAGGATGAATGGTCTCGAGGACTTATCGCCGATGCGAATAGCTTGTAATACGGCGGTTTGGTAATTATTCTTAAGTAGGCAGCTTTCCCGACCGTGTGTCTTTGCCAAGACCTGGAGGAGTCGCGGAGATGCAAGTTTCAATGAAGATCACGCAACACATTGGATCGGCTCAAGTCCGAAAACTCTCTTTGAACAGTTCGATTTCTAGATGAGTTATCCCGCCGGTAAAACATTGGACGGCGGAGTAAATAGACATGGATCAGTTGACTAAGCGGATTTTTGCTCACTGCCAAGTCCACTTCATCAACCGCAGCGTACAAGGTCGTCTCATGTGAAGTGCGAGGTCCCAAATTGCGCCGCTTTCAAAACCTGGATTGCGGGCTGAGGATATCTTTATCTGTTTCCCACAGAGACGGATTTGGCAACCCGATTTCCGAGCTTTCGCTGCGCCCTATGGACTAGTGCCTCCGTTCTAGAACCCTTTTGGGTTGACGTCTCGCCAGAAAGGTGATATCGCGTCCTGCATTAGGGCGTCTCAAACCGGCTTGGCGGGAATAGAGTTCAGACTGCGATATTTGGGGGCAGTTATTGGAAACACTAGACACGCAAACCAGACGGCCGCCCACTCGGCCGACTTTAATCGGCCATTTTCCTTTTTCCTGGAAAAGAAAACCAAGGGAGGGAACCTGGCGAGGTAATGTATCGACCACTGCATCCCTCTTTTCTCTTTCAAAGCTGGTAGACAATCCGAAGTCAATAGACTGCTCCGTGTCATGATCTACGTGTCAAGCCCATCAGCCAAGTTAGGAGTTCTTCTGTCTCGGAGTTGTCAACCGAAACAGAGAGTGAGGTTTCGGCAACGCCCGTCATCAAGGGTTTCCGACGGAAACATCGCCATGAGTTCCAAATTGTCAACACCCCTGGATGGCAACTTTCAACCACACGGAACTCGCGTTCATCAATTTTATGGTGAAGCCATCACCCGATTGCGCAAGCAGTGATCTATGGAGCAGCGATGATGCTTTTCCATGGATCTCTGAGCGAATCTGGGCTCGAAGGTAGGTCTTGGTATCATCTCCCCTTAATATCAGGGGCCGCTCGATATTTAATCTCTCACCAGTCTTCCACGCGGTGCAGGGAAGCGGACTCCAGTTGTTGCCGGGCACTCCGGAGTAAGAATTCGACTTTCTATGGATGGGATAATCTGCCACGACTCACGACTTCGTCTTTGCGGTAGTGTTGATGCTGAGACCCGGCCGCAGGCGGCTCCGTGCGTGCTGCCCCCGAATGGGGCAGTGGTTCCGAAACTGAATCAGCGGAAAGTTTCTTTGGATTTTGCCAGGGTGTAACCCTGCCCCTCATCAGGAGAACAGCCAACTTCGCCGGTACCCAACAGCACGGTTCAGCGGTGACGAGGCGCGCCGAGTTACAGATGCCAAGGGTGCATGACACGAAAATCCGGCGAACCCCATTCAATCCCAGACGGCAGCAGAAAGCTTCTGGAGAGTATGGGGCTCAGCGGACGGTCGCGCGCTGGGCGAGGACCCCGCGGACTTGGAGACTGGGGTGACATGGAGTTGCAGCGGTTCCATGTTCGCCAGACAAGGCTCAGATCAGATCAGACGATGCCAGTACAAAATGTCAATGACCGCCCTCGTCTGATCCGTTCGTCCCTGGACTCAAGCCTCTGTAGATCATCTTTTACGTTTCTTTCATTCTTTTTTATTCGTCTCATCTGACGCCTATTTTCCAACCAACCACACTCTTTTTTAACAAATCCGCTCGTAGCCGGTCTAGGATCAACAAAATGTTCGTTTCTACTCTCATTCTCTCGCTCATCGCCTCGGTCGCGGCCGACTGCGCCACCAAGAACAACACTGGCGCCACCGCCCCCGGTTCCAAGGCCCAGTGCACTCTCCAATTCGATGGCCGCATCCCCAAGGCTTTCACCGCCGCCGACTTCGATGGAAAGACCAGCCCTTTCAACACTGCCAACGTCTTCGGCAAGGGCCTGAAGTTCAGCGAGCTCATCCAGCTCCCCCAGGGTGCCTCTTCCCTGGTAAGTGACCCACCCCGAGCCGAGCCTGGTCTCTCCCGGGCCCGTACTCCGAACAGGCGCGAGACTAACACCGATGCTCTCCCAGTTTGACGTCAACTCCACCAAGCCGTTCGAGGTCACCATCAACGACAAGTCCATCTTCGCTCCCAGCGAGACCAACGTTCAGGTCGGCTTCCGCCGCGCTGAGATGCTGCCCCTCAGCAACGACGGAAAGGATGCCTCCACCCAGGGCGTCAAGACCCTCCACTTCAGCTTGATGAAGGATGCCCAGCGCCCCCTGAACCTGTCCCACGAGTACCAGCTTGTCTTCCTCGAGAGCGCCGACTTCAGCACCAACCAGGTTGTCCTTAAGACCGGTACCATCCTCGGCCAGAACACCGCCGACCCCGACACCCTCCAGCTCTTCGGCAACGTCAACTCCAGCCCCGTCCCCGAGCTTTTCAAGACCAAGTTCACCGAGGGTGTCTTCCACAACTTCGCCGTCAAGCTCGACTTCACCAAGAACACTACTGAGGTCTTCTACTCCCAGGGCAACTCCGCTCTGAAGTCTCAGGGCACTGCTGTCACCAACAACATTGCCGGCCAGGGTCAGTTCCACTTCGGTATGCTCAAGAAGCCCGTCAACGGTGGCAGCGACATCACCAAGAGCGGTGACCAGCCCGCCAACATCAACGAGGGCATCATCTACGGCGGCATCTTCCAGGAGGACAGCTCCACCGGCTGCATCTCCCTGTCTCCTTAAATTACCAGAAAGAGATGGCGTTTGGAATGAGAGATATTTCTCTTTATTAAAATTGGGGGCATCGTGGAGTTGACTTAACGATGGCCTAGATATTCGCTTCTGAATAAAGAGAAAGTTTTAAAAAGATGGACCGCGAGGTTTTATTGAGTTAGATGAATTGCTAAATTTCGTCGCTACCACTATGATTCTGCTGCCCTTCATGTGAATCAACTGCTTCTGACGATCTCCCCTGTGTCGAGTGCGCGCCAACGTGTCGAACCCCAACTTGCCGAACAACGAGATAGGCTGGCACAACAGCAATACCCCAGAGAGCAAAGTTGACACCCAAAGCTGCTGTCAGCTGCGAATAATATCAATTCTTACGAGTTCAGAAGGCAAGTCCAAAATACTCACAGGCGCACTCGTTGAGCTGATGCCGGAGCCGATGCACTGTCCTGCGCTTTCGAGAGCTCTTGCAGCGCTCGTGTATCTGACGATGTCGCTAGGATGACGTGACATCCATCCGACCAAGCAGTATCCGAAGTTGTAAGTCAGCGCAAAGTTGACCTGCCACATGATGTACAGCGCCCATCCCCGACCGAAACCTGCATCATCCCAGTCGAGGGAGGGCTTGTGCCTGGCGTAATCGGCCTGGACGACAGTGCCCCAAATCCAGCAACCACCGATAAGCGCCATCAGAAACGCATAAGAAACCCGTGCGCGCGTGGTCAGCGAGAGACGCTTCCAGTCCAAGAAGCTTCCCAGCGCAGCGGTACCGGCGATCTGGGCAAGCGCCGATACGAGGGATGCCAGTGCTCGGGCGCGGATGGTGAAGTAGAGTGACAGGTAGGAGCTGCTGTAAGGTAGCAACCAGTTGACGTAGATGAAGAATGGCGTGCTGTCACACAAGAAAGTATTAGTTGCACTGGGACGCGTCCCTGGCATAAGCATCGAGGCTGTCAGACTTACACCAGGAGGAACTCCTTTCGTAGCATGAGACGTCCCAGCTCTTTGAGTTCAGCCGAGTCAGAAATACGCTCAACGATCTGGACCCGGGTGCCGTTCCGTCGGACGACTTTATCGGGTGGGGAGAGGAGCAGGGCAACAAGAGGCCCGAGACATTCTAGACCAAGGTTGAGTCAGCCCCGTCTCATATTGTACCCGGCGGAGTTTAAATCACGAGAAGGAATTGAGTTGGGTTGCGGAATCACGTCAATGGGGGCCAAAGCTCGGGCCAGTACTTACGCAAGACCACGAACACGATATACGTTCGCCAATCCAGCTTCCCTGTTCTCTTGCCTTGGTAGTTGAAGGCGAGGTTAATAACACCGCCTAGGATGTTGCCACTGTTCCTGTAGCTACGTATGATTTAGCATTTCTGATGAATCCCGCGACGCCAGCAACTTGCGATGGTACTCACCATAACCAGTACGCAAGATATTTGCCTCGGTTTTCTGGTTCCGGATAGCTGAGCATGATAGCGCCTTCCGCCGCCCAAAATAAGCCAGCTGTGATACCACAAGCAGCGGAACCAACGTAGATAAACCACTTAGTCCCATAACGGTTGTTGGTGTAAAGAGCAGCGGAGTACACCGCATAGCCCATAGTTCCGAAAGCAAAGGTTGCCTTCAACCCGAAGCGGTTCGCAATGATACTTCCCGTGAGACAGGTTATTGTCATCAGAGAGAATAGTACAGCGTTTCCTGCCCTGCTTCTGGGTTAGATCTGAATATCCATATGCTGCTGTGAGGTGCATGTCAACTTACATAACTAAATACGGCGATTGTTGGCCGCCGGCACCAACAGAATTCATAGCATTCCATAGTCCAGGGGCCGTGAATGCGGCAATGCCGACGACAGTGGCCTGGAAGAAGACTCCACGATACCAATGGTACTTTGGTGAAGATGCTGCTCCAGTCACAGCATTAGCCGGAAAGGTACCCGGACCGTGGGAATTGCTGGCTGAAGTCATATTCTCAGTAACTGATTCGTCAACGTTACTATGCACATTTCTCCGCTTGGAGGAGTTTTGGCAGCTGCGACGTACTTAAGCTAAGAAGCACAAGATTGAGCCTTAGATTCCATGACCTATGATAGCGGAAGGATTTTGAAATCCAATATTGCGTGATATCGGAGACTTGCCGAAGCCGCAGGCTATCCTTCATTGACCAGGTCGGCAATTATTAGTGTGGTTAGAGGTTGTCAAAGAGCGTCCCCACATAACGTACGCGGCTGGTTGGATGTTCTCACGATCAAGACATGCAGACATGCAATTGCGAAGCTCCATGGATGTTTTTTTCCGCTTCCTATGCGCATAAAAAATGCCAATAAAAGCTGCTGAGCGGCCTTTAAGAAATGTTTGTGAAATTTATTCGTATATTAGGTCCCTGGCAGGTTATGAATCTTTTGGAACGATATCGATGAAATAAACAACACAATAAAAACGTAAAAGAACTGGCTGCACTACTCTTTTCGTCGAAGCCTGCCAAAACACATTTAAGATCCTTTATCCATCGCAAAACAATGTCCTGCCTTACATATCGATGCTACTTATGCTGCATTTACGTCGGGCTTTCCCCGACAATGCGTCTACCTGGCGTAGCATGCACCATCAAGATGGGCGATCACGCAATTCACACAAGCGAGGCCAAGGCACCCCAAGACCTGAAGGATTCAGAGCCTAGCAGGATCTTATCAGTGATTTTAGTCATCAGTAATCGCGAACGTCTTGGAACAATAAGAGCAACAAGAGCGCGTGTAATGCCTCAAGCAACGCCAATCATCATTTCAAGTATCAGACAGCCTTCACAACTTCCAACACAAACTTTCGAGAATAATCGAAACAAAAATGGCAGATGTTGAATCCGCAGTAGCGCCCCAGAGCGGTTTACCATCATCGGCACTGGAAAACTGGGGGGACATTGACAAAGGTCTGCCCCTCTTTGAAGCATTCAAAGTGCCCGGTCAGCAAGACACCGTCAAATTCGGCCTTCCCTGGTCTTCGTCTTTCCCTCTGGGTCTCAGACCAACCAAAACATTGACTTTGACCGAGAGCATCGAAGCCGTTGAAAGATTCACCCGGTCAGGTGACTTGGTTAAGCTGATCGGGCAGCATGGCGGTGCAGTGTTGATTCGCGGATTGCCCATCAAAACGCCGGACGACTACAGCAAAGTGGCACACGCATTTGGATTCCTCCCTCATGTTGAGGTTGGAAGACCTCCTTTGAGGACTGTCTTGGCACCAAATGTGAAAACGGCAAACGAGGGGTAGGCTCCGCGATGCTCAACAGTCCGACCACATGGCACGAGCTGATCATCCGTAGGCCACCCGAGCTCCCAATTTGGCCGCATAGCGAGTAAGCATAGTGTAACTCTTGTTATCATGGTGTGCTGATCAGAGCAGATACGGTTGGTCGACGATCAACCCAGCTTGGCTTACGTTTAGTGCCCTTCAGATCCCTGAGCCTGGTGAGTGACTATGTTTTAACTTTGTAATATCGCCACAAATGGCTTGATTGTTGAAACAAGTTTACGATGTGCGTGCTGAGTAGAAACAGGCGGCGCAACTCCCATCACATCAGCAATCTACATTGCCCATGAACTTCAACGCCAATCACCAAAGTTTCTCTCGGACCTTCTCAACAAGGGCGTCAAGTACGTGTACCGCTATACGGTAAACCCGCTTATTTCCAACACGGGAACGAGCGTTCGGGGCGCATACGGACAAGAGGTCACCGACGGAGACGACGAAGAAACGGCCCGGAGGAAGATCGAGGCTGAGGTTCGCCGTCACAGTGACCGCTTTGAATGGCATGATGATGGGAGCCTGAGCGTGACACATATCGTCCCTGGTTGGTGTTCATCCTCATCATTCACATAGGATTTGGCCAGAACTGACACCACCATGAAGCCATTCGCATCCATAAACCAACTGAGTCTACGGTATTCTTCGGGAATGTCACTTCCGCCTGGGGGCAGAGTAGACATCATGGTGCGACGAGGCCACCGTTCCGCGGCGATGACGGGTCCTATCATCCGCCGCCGACATTCGGTGACGGCACGCCGATTGACGTCGAGGACTTGGACTTGCTGCTGAAACTCGCGGAAGAGGGTGCCGTAGATGTTGAGTGGGAGGAAGGAGACTTGGTTTTGCTGGACGTGAGTACTTTACCTCTGGAAAATCCCCGTGCGAGTGACATCGTGTGTGGTGGCTGACACGAAAGGCGTCCCCAGAATTACGCGGTCATGCATTCGAGGAAGCCTTGGAAGGGGGAGCGCCAAGTCCTGGCTGCACTCTGGGACGATGACGGGAGGATCAGAGATTTTCCAGAAGGCTTAGAGTTGCTGAAGGGAAGTCCGAGAGTCCTTAGGACGGACTCGGGCGAGACTGTCGGATAGCGATCCACGGTCAGCCCTCATCGTCATTGGCCAGGAATTATTCCCGACTGGATATCTCAATGAATATCATTCCTCAGGCTTAGAGATCTTTGACTTGATCTACCTGCGCCTGTGCTCCGGTGAGCATACAGTCTTACTGACTTCAGTGATGTACCCTAAGCTTGCCTATCTTATCAATTATCATCCTTGAGATTTACGTTCTTCGGTTATCGGAGCCCGAGAAGATCAAGCCGCAAAACATACGAAGGCAATACATGCATTACGAGGAATGATAATCCGCCACGGAGAACCCTCATCAAGTTCTAGGGGCAGAATACGATCCTAGCTCCATAGCCACCGCGCGCCACGCCTACCGCCCATGACAGTTTGTCAGGACACTGTCAGGTCGTAGTTGAAATTGTGTCACCGCGACAAGTACGCGAAGTCTTACTCGGACAGTGGAAACAGGCCAGGGCCCAAGTGGATCATTCCGGGGGTGAAAGGAGAGACGATGTTCAAGCGCGGATCAGATGAAGCTGGTGATGCATCCGTGCGCCAGGGGCCTCCGAGCGGTGCGTGGTGCGGGATGAATTGCAGATAACCTCGCATGCATGTTCCGCCAAATGCAGTCTATTGTCTTATGCATAAGGCTTAGTTGTTGACAAAAGGGGAAGATCATTGCCAGATCGGCTACATCGCGTCTTCTTCAGCGGCGTATGGCAGTGCCATCTTTCGATCGAGCCGTTACTTTTCCTATTGTCCAGTTTAAGACACAATTTCCCCCTTTCGACTCTTTCAACTGAGGCAGTGGATATCCAAGAGTCCTTTTCAAATTGGAGACCTTTTGTCGAATCCATGGTGGTTAGGCACCACAGTCGCTTTGACGATGGCGTCGCTTAGCGGCCCTCTCCTAGACCAACAACAAACGCCAGGCTTCCGATGTAACCGCTAACTGTATCATTAGGGGCGCCATGTCTCGTAGCAGATGGCGCTAACAGAGCCCGTCTATCCGCCAGCCGCGGCGAAGAGAACCGGCGATACTCCCTTGAGTTCCTTGATGACGAGTTAAGAGCCCGCAGCTATGACAGTGGACCGCCCGATTTGAGCCTAGAGGAGGCAACTGAACGACAAGGCTCGGACCTCTTCATCACAGCTAGTGCATCCCAATATCCGCATTGACCTTGGAATCACTCCATTGGATGAAGGGGGTGGCTCTCTCTAATACCCTCTCTCTCGCAATCCATGCCGCTGGCTTGGGAGAGGGAACTTTGATCTTTGATTGTTTGTGTCTTCTCACCTCCAGTCATTCATTCGCACGGTCGGGATTACTTCGCTCGCAGTTGACGGTCTTTTCGGTTTGCACTTCTTTTGCTGCATGACGGTGTTCCAAGCGGGCGTTCCATCGAAACGTTTTGGAACAGAAACAAACAGCAACAACAATCTCGATACACATAAGACAATCACACGGCAGCGCCAGGATATAATGAACAATGGTCGGTGAGGGCATCCACGGGAGATGGCATGAGGTCTCGCACAAACTCTATCGTCGAGGCCTCATCGGGGATCTTCTCAACGCTCCCGGTAACATAATCAGTCAGGTGTTGTCACCGCCGGCGGCGACAACACAGGAAAGTGTGAAGGCAGAAGGAACACCAGCAGCAGCAGCGACAACACAAGCTGCAGCTGCGCAGCCAACAACCCAAGCAGCGGTAGCAGCGCCTGTGACGACACAGCAGCCTGCGGCGGCAGCTCCTGCATCATCCACAAAACAAGAACAACAGCAGCAGCAGCCCGTGACGACACCGGCTGCCCAAGCTCCGGCGACAACAAAGGCAGCAGCAGCAGCTCAACCTCAACAATCATCTCCAGCGGCTGCTGCACCTAGTCCTTCAACAAGTAGCAGTGCTGCAGCTGTAGCGGCTGGTGGTGGAACAACATCCGTTGCCAACGCAGCGGCAGCGGCAGCAGCTCCCACAACCCCCGGTGTTGCTGCGTCCTCCCAAGTCGCAGCTTCCTCTTCGATATCCCCAACTACAAGAGTTTCTGGTCTCAGCGGCGCAGATGCAACGAGCTCGGGAGGACCGGCTTCGAGTCATACACCAATCTCACCAAATCCCGATACCCAATCCAGTGGTGGAACTCCCAGTCAGACTCCTTTGGTAGCGACAGGTGTCGTATGTAAGTGATAACGTCAACTACACAAGTCCATGCCTCTAAATTCTAATCTCATTCACAGTGGGTATCGTTGTCTTGATGGGAATTTCCCTGCTGCTTTACTGGTGCTACCGTCGAAGAAGAAGGGCAATCGAACATCACCACGCCGCTCTGCCTCCCGAAAGCCCCTCCAACGAATACGGCCCCGAACCTCGATATCGAGATACCATCGATACAAGCGTCGTCCCGATGACTGAAGTCATGACCGATAGTCGCGCAGTCAGCGGCATTGACCAACTGACAGTCGAGCATCCCAAACCTGAAAGATCATCCACAGCTCCACCTCAACTTACACTGCAAGGCCTATCCTCAGTGTCCGAACGAACCAACCCCTACTCGGGAACGCCATTCACTTACGCTCAAGCTCAACAATATGCACAATCCCATGGGTTCTCATTCCCAGCTCCACCACCAATTCCAGAACCTTCCCCTATTCGTATCTTCAGATGGCCAACCCGGTCATCTCGCTCCGGCTCCTCCGCCCCAAGTGTCTGGTCTGCTTGGCGAACATCGAAGACTCCTTCACATGCACAGTCTCGTGCGCAGTCTAGAGCATCTCGCAGCACCATGTCTTCTATGCTCTGGCACGGAAGGAGAGACGTCATCGCCAGGAGGACAATGAACCAAACTCCGGTGTCAACAAAGAACGGCTTTCTAGCCGCTAGTACACCAGACAGCCCGATGCCAGAGGGTCTACACACGCCGATCCTGGACTGGCTACACTGGATACGCGGAAACCAATCAGAAAATGGCGACCCGGAATTCAACCACAGAAAAAGTATCGCCAGTTCCGAGAGCTCTCTCTCAGAAGTAAGAAGCATTGCCAGCAGCGGTGTCTTCTCTCCCACGCTCCTTTCTTGGCCTCCGCCGGCCGAAGGCGCGCCACCCATGATCGACCCAGATGCTTTGGAGGCTCTGCGATATTTACCCATGCCTCTTCAGTTGAAAAGAGAGAGCAGTAACGGCGAAACCTTTGTAGAGCCGTCTGGAAGCCGTGTACAAAGTTTCCAATAACTGTAAATTCATGTAATTAATGACGTCTGTTCGGAAACGGCTCTAAGGTACGAGCTGTCCGTCGTTGCATTGCTCAGGTGTCATAGCATAGTTAGTATTTATCGCTCAAAAAATACCAAATTTGACCATCAGATGAGATCATTCATGCACTCCAACTTCTCACAAACCTGGATTGTGATGAACACTGTTTTTGCGTACTATTGAACCGTACAACGGCGTCATCCTGCCCGATATTCATAAATCAGGAGATCTTCCTTCAATGATCACCTCTTGTCCAGGCGTTGCTTTATTCCTCCCAGGGTAGAAACAGGCATAGAATGCACAGCCAGCCACAAATCCCACAATCCCAAGGGAGGCGTACATCCAAACCAAGTAAGGGTCCTGAGAAACAGGAGCGAGAGCGATGCAAATAGCCGCAGCGACACCAATTGTCAGCCAAAAAAGGGCGGATACAACCGATCGAAGACTAGGGAAATTTGAGCGTTAGATTTCATCTTGGCGTCATCGAACCACTCAGCCGACTCAGGGGCACTCACTTTTTCGGTGCATGGGTGAATGCTAGCTCCAGCCCAGTAACGATGATGAACGCCTCTGAAAACGCCACCAGGATGTACGCCGGTGCCTGAATCCAGACGTGAATGCTTTTTGGGGTTGAATTGTATATGTAGTGCTGCAGAACACTAGCATAAACCATTGAGACGGATGCGAAAAGGAATCCGACGAAAATTCGAGTTACCGGATCGAAGTTGATGCGATACTTCCGGAAGAGGGGATACACAACGACTATGGAGTTCTCGGGTTAGATCATTTCCTAAGGCGTCTAGCGTAGATGGCTGCTTACTGTCAAGAAATGGAATGAAGATGCACAGGGCGATGGGGTCCAGATTCTGCAGTAAATCGTTTGGTGTGCCATGTAGAGCCATCTCGCCTGCCTGGGAAATCAGATTGTTCCAAATCTGGATCCAACAAATGAAGTAAAGGGGAAAGAACAAGAACATCTAGACATGAAAACGTCAGCTTCATATCATTGTAAATAAACGAGACCTTCCTACCTTGCAACTGTTCAGTCCCCTCATAACGTCCATGACATATTCGTCAGTGTACTTGGCTTCTCTTGCAATGGCATGCTTGCTTTCGTGACCGGACTCTCTGAGAGCCGAGGGGGTGGCGTTCTCAAAGCCTTTCTCTTTGATAGCAATGCTGGTCACTCGGAAAGCATCCACAATCGCAGATCCTTCGGGTGGAACCTTCACGTATTTCTTCTGACCGGAAATGAAGACGGCTGCGGATATGAGAATTGCACTGAGTAGGTTAGATACCAAGCCAGGTCGGAGGAGCTGGGCAACTCACATGAGTGGAATCAGGTATGCCAACCAGAAAGAGTGATGAGCCTCAACGTTTACGGTGATCAGAGGTGACAGAGCGCCAATATTGACGACCCAGTAGAACCTAGAATAGTCATCAGCTGGTGTCCGCGATGTTGTGTGACCATGCATTATCTAACCACATGAACAAGCGTTGTACAGTCAGCTCAGGATCCACAAGAACCTCTTCGCCAGACTTCAGAGTCCTCACGACAGGATGAGAGTTCTGGTATTGTTCGGCGCACATGGGCGTGACGTTGGCTTTGATGCCGCCTGTCCCAAGACCGATGGTGATCATTGCGGCGATGAGGCCACCAAAACCAGCCCCGCTGGTGATCGCTTGCGGTGTTGAAGTTGCAACGAGAATGATGAGGCCGATGGTGTAGACAGAGCAAGCAGCAAGGATTGCCTTGAACTTTCCAAGGTACTGGTCTGATAAAGGTCTGTCAGCACGTCACTATATGGAAGATTCTCAACCAACTTACCTGCTATAACGGCCCCGATGACTGTCGATGCATATGCCCAGAATTTAAAGAAGTTGCCCAACGCAGTAGCCACAGCTTGGCCTCGCCCGAGAGCTCCCGGAAGATCAGAATTTGGATCATAGGGGTTGCTATGATGAAACTAGTTAGCAATTTGAAGTAATTCTAGTCGGAGTTGCAAAGCATTAGATTTGAGACCGCCTAATTTCCCCGCGCACCTAGCGATTTCAATGAGGATGACAGCAGTAGATGAACCTAACAATAGAAACGACTAGAAACGACAACGACAATAACAACGACGACGACGACGACGACGACGATGGTACCTAATTATGGAGTACATTTGAACCCGAAAACGAAATCTAGGCGCTCCATCATATAGAACAGAGGTAGTCTATTAGAACTTACTTGATGTAATTCTGAATCGGCCCGCTCAGACCGAAGTAAGTGAAGCGCTCTCCGAGCTTGTTTTTAACTGTTAAACTCGAGCTCCAACTGAATCGAGCGCGTCTCGTGACTGACATACCTCAACAACCAAGATCAGAAGTGCGACAGTTGGGAGTTTGTCTGGAACTCTCCTAAGACCCGCCCATTGCTCCGCAGCCAACTTGATCGGGGCATCTGGATGTACGTTGGCCTCTTCTGCGCCGGCGATGTTGTCTTTGGCGTCGCTCATCGTCACTCTAGTACGACAATAAAGTATTCATGCTCCGATAATCGAACGATGCCCTTCGGAAGCTGAATGCTGGAACATCTCATAGTCATATAGATGACGAACAAAATGCTTGGCTACGGCCTTTGTTCGAATCACTGATCCTCTGACTCGACCCGGTGCAGCGGGCAAAGCGGGGTCCCCCGGACTGGCGCTTCAACGCCTGATACGGGAGATAACGCTGGGGTTTTTGCGTGACTCTCATAGGCGGCGTCCACTGGCCTATCACTAAGATAGCGGTTGAGAACGCCACCAATCAGATCTAACACCGTCATCTTTTGGTGGTTCATCCGCACTTGGCCCACGAAGATCGGCCATTTGAACGCCGCCAATCAGACACAATGCCGGCCGCCGAATTCGAAACGTTGGTCATGGAAACGTCCGGTCCGGCGATTGCAGCTTAGATGATGAGACGAACTGCGCAATGAAATGAGACCTTTGGCTCGATATCGCAGTTTGATTGAATTCAACCACATGCGCATACTTCGAAAATGACGGTGTCAAGAACAGCCTGCGAACAGCTAAAAGATGGGGCATGCCCCGGACGACTTGCTATTTCGGCGCAAGACTACCGAGGCATAGATCCAGAGTGGGTTCGGCTTTGGAATGATCATGGCGGCTCCATGGTGAGAGCCGATGAAGTCAGTATTGAAGAGTATCGGAAAAGCCCGGGGAAATACAGCTTCACTTATCCGACATGTGCTGGTTAGCCAAGTTAGACGCCAGATTTTGTCTCAGCGTATTAACAACAGTGTAGGACCTGAAGTATTCCATATTGAAGATTGTAAGATCCCTGTAACCAGGCCCTCTGGAAAGATCACCGTTCGTGTCTACTCGCCTGAAGGTCCTGGACCGTTTCCCGTACATCTCAACTTTCACGGAGGTAAGCGAGCACCTCGTTTGAAATCCCAGCAAATATGAGAACCAGTGATTGACGTTACAGGCGGTTGGGTTCTTGGTGGGCTTCAGAGCGAGGCTGCATGGTGCCGACACATGTGTAACAAAGCAAACATAAAAATCATCGATGTCGACTACCGTATGGGACCTGAACATAAATTTCCCACCGCGATTTACGACTGCTGGGATGCTGTCAAATGGGTAAGACTTTGACCACCAATAAGAAAGTCCCAAGCTCTTGGCTAACATCTCCATCCTCCAGACTATCAGCAACGCTCAAGTTCTAAACATCGACCCGACCAGCGTCTCGTTTGGCGGGCTGTCGGCCGGCGGTCAAATGTCTGCCGTTCTTGCCCATTTTGCAAGAGATGAGAACATTCCAATCAAGTTGCATCTCATGATCGTTCCAGCGACCGACATGCGATATTGCAGCCGCAGGATCAAAGGGCTCAATGAAATCAACTGTCCGTATGAAAGTGCTCGACAATTTCACAGCCTCCCTTGGGGACCACTGGGGAGAGAACAATGGTTCTTGAAATATTGGCTTGGAGACGATGATGGTAGGATCAAAGCCAGCCCTGGAACAAGACGATTTATTGACACATTGAGCTAGATGAACAAGAAAGATGTTTGAATGAGTGGATCTTAACGCCAATCTTGGCGCCAAACTTTAACGATCTACCGCCAGCTCATATCGTAACAGCAGAGTTCGATCTTGAGCGGGATGAGGGGGAGTATTACGGGAGGCTACTCACAGATTGTGGCAATCAAGTTTCGATGAAGAGGTATGAAGGGGTCCCTCACGCTTTCGCACACTACAACCATCCAGAAAGAGGTCTCGGCAAAAGTTTTGAGTTCATCACGGACACCGCGTCTTTGCTTAGATCAGCGCACTACCGGGGCTGAATAAGCAGAGTTGTGCCATCTCGGCAAAAGAAATACTCACGTTGTCTACCTCATGAATCTTTCTCTTGATCGTCAGAAAGAGTCAAACGCAATATTATATACTATAATTCCTATTGCAGCAGCTGCCATCGTCATCTCTGCTGTCGTCGTTGTCGTGGTCTCTAGTATTCTCACCATTGTTACGGTCACTGTCCGCCACGAATATTCTGACTAAATCAGAACGAATTTTGGGACAGAACATGATTGCGCAACAGCTTGGAACCAATGGCGTGAGCTGAACGTCAAGCAGCGATATGTGAAAGGGAAGCAACCGGCATTCATTTCCATCCTCGTGAATGTGGTTGGTCGACGAGGATGAGTCGTGGTTCACAGCGAAATACAGGTATATACCTAGCTGTGTGGCTGTCGAACATGAAGACACATTCGGAACCAAATAATCCTGCATGTCTCAGCTGGTGTGGACCTCAATGTTCTACGGCGTGCAATGTTTTTCAATAATCCGTTCGATATCCTTCAAGCCATCATACCACCTTATTTGGCAAGATCATCACTAGTAAGACTAAGATGGAAGGCACCAAAGATGATCATGAGGGGTTGCTGCAACAAGACTCCACAATTTACCTCCGGAACGCATGACTAGTATCGGAAAGTTGACTTCAATTGGATTTGGAACATCTCGGGTCGTACCGTAGACATCGCGGATCTTACTATATAGGTCGGATGTTAGGGGCGAGGGGAGTGGGGATCAATTACTAGAGACTGTCCTGATCTATACTCACGACATACAAAAGCCATCGTCTAACGGTTTCAACTCCACCACCTTCAGAACTTGGAATATACATCAGTTTGTCTTGGCCATGAGCCTTACAATGTCAAGGGTTACCAAGGACGTTCAGACGCACTGGGTTCGCCCATGTCAGCCTCAAGGCAGTTCAGGAGATCAAGTATGGCCTATTTCGGACTTCGATTACATTCAGCCTGCAATCAACATTCCCCTTGTTGCAATATACGCCCTTCCTTCTGATGCAAATGGACCATCAGTCATTGAGGATTTGAGAGTAGGCCTTGCTGAAACACTCGGCCAATACAGACAATTCGGTGGCAGATTGCAGATCAACGACGAGACAGGCCAGCACACCATCAAGACTACCGACAATGACGTCGTGGAACTGAGTGTCCAATATCACGATGGGCCGGATGATGATTATGTACCATCCTATGCCGCCCTCGAGAAAGACGCATTTCCACCCATGTTGTTAGACAGCAAAAAGCTTTTGCCAAGAATCATGACCGAGAAGCAGAACCTCACCCAGCACGGAGACTTTCATGAGGACGACACCCCCGTCACAATGTTTATGGTTACCTTTATTCGAGGCGGGTTGGTCATCGGCGTTGGCCTGCATCACCTAGCCACCGACGTTTCAGGACTCGACGGCTTTCTCGAGTCTTGGGCAGCAAACACGAAAAGGTTGGTCGCTGGCTTACCTCTGGCTCCTTTTGACCACTCTATCATGGACCGCGCACTTCTCACGCACTCTGGCCCTGCGCCAGATGTGAAACGGTGGACGGAACTGGACCAAAGGTTGAAGACCGTCAAACTGCTTGATACGGCTCCTCTGCCTCCTCCTCCCGAATTCAAAATGCCCGCCACTTCGGAAGTTCTTTTCCATTTCCCAAGGTCCAAGATTAATCAACTTAAAGCCAATGCATTTCGGACAGACCCAAACACTTGGATATCGTCTTACGATGTCATCATGGCACTCTGCTGGCGATGCGTCTCCCGCGCTCGTCAGTCTTCAGTCACTGGAGACACAACCACTACACTGATGTTCGCTGTCAACGGACGCGGTCGTCTCAAACCGCCGCTTTCGAAGCATTACGTTGGCAACGTCGCCACGCTGAGCTGGTCGGAGCTAACTTTCGATGAGGTTGTGGCCCCCGGTGCCTTTCCTCGCCTGTCTGCATTGGTGCGTGCAGCAAACGTTGAGGTCGACGACGATGTTTACAAATCAGTGGTGGAGTGGGTCGCCGGTGTCCCTGACAAGCGACGTGTCGCGTTTAACATGAACGCATTCTTGGGTCCGGACGTGGTGGGCAGTAGTTGGCAGGGCTTGTCGGCTCATCAGACGTGGTATTTCGGGTTCGGGACGTCAAAAGCGATTCGCTGGCCTAAGCCTGATCTCGATGGATTCGTGTTTTACTTCCCTTCCAGAAATACGGGTGACCCGGACGAGGGTGTTGAGATGGTGGTTTGTTTGGAAGACAGCGCGATGCAGAAGTTGCTCGAGGACCAGGAGTGGCTGAACTATGCGGTGGCCAAAGGACCGAGGAGTTGTTTTGATCTAGATGTGGCTGGAGCCTGAGCGTGTCTTGCTCGCAGGTGTGGGACCCTTATTGGACTTCACTCTCGTCGGTGTCGTAGCAGATCAAATAATCAATTCGACTCCAAGTTTACATTCATGTGATAACTCCCGCAGGGGCTGAGATTAAATCGCTTCTTGGATTGTTTGGCCTAATCGTCTAGTTAAGATATCGTTCGACCGCGTAACATGAAAATTTAGGTGAAGTCCGTGTAATTTGGCCAATCACTCCGCTATGCCGATTTGGCCCAGTGGTATCGGGGCGGCGGCGTTCAGGGTATGGGATGCCGTTGGATGCCGTCGAGGCAGTCGATGATTTTCTTGAGCAAGTAGTACATGGTAGCATTGCGGCTACGCTACAAGGAGACAAACAAAACAGGACTCAGTTTAGGGTCGTTCTGCCTCCGCAGCTTTGAATGCATCCGCAACATGAGGTTTCAGTTGAAGAACATTTTCAATACCCCGCCAGAAAAGTGCATCTATCCTCAGAAGCCCGAGTCGTAGAAATGGGAATGAGACCACTTTGAGTCTTAATAGCTTTCGGGTGGACTCTAAATCAGCAATCCAGCCTGATGCTTCTTCAAAGTCAGCGGACGTAACGGCCATCGTCATCAACGTGAAGCAAACCGAGGAGAACATGAATTGGTTCCAAGGAGCCCAGAAGCCGCCGGCCGTATCGGGGCTTAAACTCCGGATGATTGCAGACATTCCGACGATGCATGTTTTCATATCTTCTCTTATCGCTCGCAAAGATCGCGACGGATCATGCGAGTGGTCCTCCGTTGCCGTAGTCTCTGCCAGCCATGGCCTGAGCTTAGCTCGGCCGATGATCAGTTGCACATAAAGCTGACCAAGGCCATTTTCAGTGAAACAGGTTGAGTTATCATCGCTGGAGATGTTGCGCAACTCGTGGAGTAGTGGCTGTGCTATGTCAAGGGTTCTCTCGTGATCCCCAGATAAGATCCCGACACTTCGCGTAGAGCTTGGGCATGTCAGCTGTGAAACCCATTGCCAAATATTTGACACTTACTAAAGCTTCGACAACGTTAATGCAAGCGTTCGTGTGATAGCTGAGAAATTCATCAGGTGGTTTTGTGCAGGGGCGTCGAGACTAGAATCAGAAAAGTCATCGTAACCCAAGGTCGTGACAAGCCAATCGTCTTCGTGAATCATCGGTGGCCGACCAAGGCCGCAAGCTAACCACTTATCAGTCGCATAGACGATGAAAGATAGCCTACGACGATGTGATATTTGCCATGACGCCATGGACCATCTTGAAGGGTCAAGATGAAGACCCAAAGTAGTAGCACAAGATGCCAGCCTTCCCAGTAGGTCCCATCTGGAAGCTGCATCCGCGACCATTGGGTCAGGCGAAGGCCGGAGGACTAGCAACAGTAGCGCTTGCACGATGGCGAGCGTTGGTGAGTGCATTTCGTACGCCATGCTCTTCTCAATAATCCGAGAGAGTTCGGCATATGGAGGCCTGTCGTAAGCTACATCGACACTGAGCTTGTCGTCATGGACAGCGAAAGGTAGTGAGATGGCATATGTCGCGGCGACGAGACACAAAGGCTCTGATTCGGGGTCTAAGGGGTGGGATGCTGAGAATATTGGCCATTTCGGATAGATGAACTGGTAGAATAGCCGAACTAGGCGTCGTCCAACATCCAAAGGGATGACCTTGTGTAATTCCTTTCTCAGAAGGTCTTCCTGGCCTTTGCTGAGGCCAGCCTCCTCTCGCTTTCTAGAGAACAGAGACTGTTGCGAAATTAGGAACTGACAAGGAATTGGGCTTTCCTGTACTGAATGGATGGCCAGTTCTTTGAATCCATACATGCCCATATCGTCGAATCGGTAGTGGCGGACCAGGAGGGGGTCCATGTCGCTGCTGAGACCCATGAACTGCGGATTTGCACCTGCGGGATAGCCAGTATTCGGCGCAGACGCCATGCTCATGTTGAGTGATTCTGTCTCAAGAGCAGAGACGGCCGGAGAGTCAGGCGGCCGCGGACTACGAAACATGGCCTCAAATTCGGATTGCGTGGTGTCGAAGTTGCACGCTTCGCCAAAGTGCATGGGCCCACCCTCGGGAAACAGCCCATCAGTGAAGCCACCGAGGACCTGACTTGGGCTTGGTGGGACTGTTTGTCTTCGACTTGGTGCGTCAACATTGGCGTCGACCTGGTCCGCGTGTGGCCCGTCGGCTGGTACAATTCTCTTTCGGGGCGCTGCAGCCTCGATGAAGGTGCACTCACGGCCATGCAAGACACAGAGACGACACGGTGGCGCCTGGTCGATACGACATGCCGTTTTTCGTGCCCGACAGAAATCACATGGCCGCTGGCGTTTGCTCATGTAACGACGCGGTTGGGTGATGTTGCTGGACATCGTAGACGCGTTGGTACGTGATAACGCATAGAAAACTGAGCCAGGCCGGTGTCAAATGAAACTTTATATATGTTGACATGTCAATCTCATTGAATCGTAGAGTCAAGGTGATACCGGCTCGATTTCGAGGCGCTATCCATATCAACTCATTGATGTCGGAGAGGACTTGAATCTGGTCAAACGGACTTTTTTCGCCGGCCGCGATAGAATTCTTGGGGCACACTATCCGGCAGCTCCAGATGGCAGCAGCTGGCACCCACCAACCCCTTTTTGGCCTTCAAGAAACAACTATGTGCTTCTCGACTTGACAATACATTGACCAGATTTGGGAAATGTGGCGAAATAATTCATGAAGCTCATTGACTCAGGCCTTGTTTCCTCCGACAAATAAGCTCCACGACACTCTTTGAAAAATCCAGCCGCAGCCAGTCGTATCTCCATGTACGCTACGTGAATGCCGCTACAG